GGGGGGGGGCTTTTACTTGTCTGTGCCCAGGGAACCTTTGTCCTACAATCCACCCATGCTTTTTGGATTTTTACTTTATTATTTCTTGTAAAAAAAACAAAAACGTTGTCTTCTGTAAACTGAATGTCTCTGGTGTTAGGGTGGGTTGTTTTCCTGCTAAACAGATTAATAGAAACATATTTACAGTGTAATATCTACCATAAACCTATTGTCTCATGTCGTGTCCGTCCCTCCCGCACATGTACAGTCCGCCTCTCCATCCATATGCGTCTCTTAGCACCGAAGAGGCGCAACGGGAAAGAGCACAGTAACGTGAGGGACACAGTAAGTGAGGGAGGAGCAGCAGAGCTTTGCGCTCATAAGTGGCACCCAGCCCACAGGGTTCCGGAGTAGAGCCTTTCTCCGTTTTTATAAGTGGAAAATGTATAGCTGCTTCATTCCTCATTCATTCTGTGGCTTCATCGCAAATAACTGAACGGACTGTGCAATCTGTCTGAAAGTGTTTTTCCAGGTTAAACTTGGACCAGTCAGTCTGCTGGGAGCGTTAGTCCGCTACATGCTTGAAGAATCACGGGCATTTTGAGGGACAGATAGGTTTTGGTGAAGTTTGGATACTGTTAGATACGCGGACGTTTTGGTCAAAGTGGATCTGCCACTGTGGCCTAGGACTGCCTGAAATAACCTGGGACACACTGTTTCACAGAGTGCTGCTCATCTTGTTCTGAGAAGAAATGTGGCGCAAAATCTCCCTGCTGATTTTATGTTGTGCGCTAAATGGGCTCGACGCTCTAGAGGCGGGCGGAAGCGCGGAGCCCTTGAAGGAGAAGCTCCTGACCGAAGCGGCTGAGCTCGATAAACCGGACAAGGATGCTCCCTCCGCGGCTAAAGGCGGTCCCCAAGGAGGAGAGCAGCAGTCTCCTGCTGTAGGTGCGGAGGGGACAGTTCAGCAGTCCACCGAGCCTCTGGAGGCTGAGGAGAGCATCATTAGCCAGGTCAATGCGCAGACTTCATGTACTAACTACTCATGTAATGAAGCATGTTTGTAGCAAACACCTAGCAGAACTAGACTTCCGAAGAACTCAGTTAACAACCTAAAAGGTGGCACTTGTCACAGTATTTTTTATTTAAAAAAATTAAAGCTTTAAAAAAGTTTGAACATTTCTTTCCACAGTTATTCCAGTTTAGCAGAACCTCAGCTGATCTCGATTATGTGTCAGATTAAACCTCAGTGGTGTAGTTAGGCTACTTGGAGCAAAATTTTCCATCCACTTCATTATGTAAAACCCACATGAGAATTGAAAGCACCTGGTGCTTTTGTTCTGTGACTGTAAAGCTTAAATTTCATATTTCTGGTATGAAAATAAATTGAAAGTGGTTGTATTAGACACAGCAGTTTTTACTTGGAAAAGTTAAACAACCCAAACCCCAGAGGTTAAATAATGTGGTAAGTCAGACCCCAGACCCAGGTATGTGTGCACGTGCGTGCACCAGTGTTGTAGTCCAGGACTCTTACTCCAGTCCAACTCGGACACTTGACTCAATTTGGACTTGAACGCTGATGACTCGGATTAGGACTCGGACTCGAGCATTGGTTGCATTTGGACTTGGAAGTTGGAGACAAAGACTCAGACTTTTTTGAAATAGGACATAAGAATTTGGTCTAAGATATTGAAATTAAAACCCGTTCACCCGCACCATACTGTATCCAGCACACTTCCATAGAAGTATACACACCACCTTACTATAAATGGTTTTTATGTCTCAAATTGCAGAGCAATACAGTGACACAATACACTGTTAGAGAATTTGGAATATAAAATGGTGAGAGCTGTGTCAGTTGTGTTTAATGTAGACCTTGATGACGCTGACTCAGGTAACAGGGACTCGACTCAGACTCAACTCGAACATAGCTTGGACTTGACTTGGATTATTCTTTGGTGACTTGGACTTGACCTCCTCATAAAATAAAAGTTAAATATGTCTGTTAAATCCTGTAGCTACTGTATCTTCTATCCAGGCTGCTCACCACTGCCATAGCTGCAAATCATCTCACATCCGCCTCTCTGTCCGTTAAGTTCTAATTCATGTGTTTCAGGCTAGTAATTTAATTTAATTGTTTATATAGCACTTTACAACACCCAAGGGTGCTCAAAGTGCTTCACAGCAAAACATATAAAAATAAAAGCAGAACATGCATATAGTTTTTATTTGGTGTTTTACCACAGGTTGGATACACGGCACTCATACATGCTTTTCATGTGTAGCTAGTAATTCTCTCATGTATTCTGTTTCAGAGTTTTGGATGTAGTTTTCCCTTCTCCAGAGTGTTTCTGTAGACTCCCCTGTGCGTTGTTTGTACACCAAGTGCTTCCAACGTACCAGTGACAATGTGGTCGGTACAGACACTAGCATGACTCCTACTCGAGGTGCATGCGTGATGGTTCATGTTGCATACACTATACTTTCTGTCTGTGCCACTGTGTGCACAACATGAACCATTGTGTATGCAATATTGTATTGAGATGTGTTTCCCTTGGTGAAAACTGTGTTTCTAGTCATGCTCCCCACGGTGGTTATGGCTGAGACAAGGTTAGAGTTCGGGGTAGGGCAGGGGTTTTCAACCTAATGTGACCCAGGGACCACCAAACTGACTATGAAGTACCGTAACCCAAAGACCACTGTTGTAGGGAGGCTACGCCCGATTGGGCCCTGTTTTAGTCCTAAAAGTCTACATTTGATATACAGCATTTTCATTAATTTGATTATTCACAAGTGATACATGGAAATGAGTTTTAAAAAAAAATCCTACAGTGAAACTACATTACTGAATGCCCCTACAATGCCTTTGCAGACCACCAGGGGGCCATGGATTACTGGTTGAAAACTGCGGTTAGGTGAAACACATCTCAAAAGGGGATCAGATCTCAACACAACGCCGCCACATAATCGAATATTGCAGAGTGATGGGCCGGTCATTGGTCATAGCTCAGACTAAAAACCAGCGAGTTCCAATCTCCAGCCGATTGATCAGTGCATCTCTAATATAGACTAATATAAAGAATCAGAATCAGAATCCGCTTTATTGGCCAGGTGTGTCAGACACACGAGGAATTTAACTCTGGTACATCGGCTCTCACTGTGTATGTATATATCCTCATGCAAGGGGCAAGTAAACTGTAAACCAGCATAAGGCTAGTATAACATAATAAGAAGTCTAAACA